GGAGCCAGGAGCCAGGTGCTTTTTCCTGGTCTCCCATGGGGTGCAGGGCCCAAGCACCTGGGCCATCCTCCACTGCACTCCCTGGCCACAGCAGAGGGCTGGCCTGGAAGAGGGGCAACCGGGACAGAATCCGGCGCCCCGACCGGGACTAGAACCCGGTGTGCCGGCGCCGCTAGGCGGAGGATTAGCCTACTGAGCCGCGGCGCCGGCCTTCCCTGATTCTTATTGTTTCCTACCTCCTGCCTATTTGGAGTTTAGTTTGTTCTTGTTTTTCTAAGTCCTTGCAGTGCACCATTAGGTTATTTGAGATCTTTCCATTTTGTTAATGTAAGAACTTATTGCGATAAACTTCTCAATATTGCTTTTGTTGTATCCCACAAGTTTTGCTATGTTGCATTCTCTTTTTCATTAGTTTCAAAAAAATTATTTCCTTTTTCTTAAAACACCCATTGGTTATTCAGCAGCATGCTGTTCGATTTCCATATATTTTTACATATTTTGTTCTTATTGTTGATTTCTTGTTTTATTCCTTTGTGGTCTGAGAAGATACATGGTATGATTTCAATCTTTTAAAATTTACTGAGGCTTGATTTTTGACCTAATATATCGTATCATCCCAGAAAATGTTCCATGTGCTGCTAAGAATGTGTACTGTTAGCTGCTGGGCGAAATCTAATGTAAAGATCTCTTAGGTCCATTTACTCAATAGTCTAGTTCAAATATGATGTATCTTTGTTGATTTTCTTTCTTTACAATATGTTCATTGTTAACAGTAGGGTTTTGAAGTCCCCCCCCACTATTACTGTATTGGAGTCTATCTCTCCCTTTGGGTTTAATAATAATTGTTATATATACCAGAGTGGTCTTGTGCATATATATTTGTTACGGTTATATCTTCTTACTGATTCAGTCCATTTATCAGTATATAATGGCTTCATCTCTTTTTAGTTTTTGATATAAAGTCTTATGAGTACAGTTCTTCCCACTTATTTTTGGTTTCTGTTTTCCTGGCATTATGTTTATCCACCCTTCATTTTAAGTCTATGTGTATCTTTATTTATTGAGTTTACTATCAGGTGTTGGGTTTTTTTTTTGTTTGTTTTAAAATTTTATTCATTTATTTGAGAAGCAGAGTTAGAGGGGCAACAGAAAGGTCTTCCATCCCCTGGTTCACTCCCCAAGTGGCTGCAGCAGCTGGAGCTGGGCTGATCTGAAGCCAAGAGCCAGGAGCTTCAGGCTTCTCTAGTCTCCACGCAGGAGCAGGGGCCCAGGCATTTGTGCTGTCTTACACTGCCTTCCCAGGCCAATAGCAGGAGGCTGGATTGGAAGAGGGGCAGCCGGGACATGAACCAGCCACCCGTATGGGATGATGGCACTGAAGGCGGGGGCTTAGCCTTCTAGGCCACAGCACTGCCCCCCTCTTATCCACTCAGCTGAGGTGTATCTTTTTACTGAGGAATTTAACCTGTTTATAATCAAAGTCAGTGTTGATAAGAGTTAATACCTGTCATTTCTTGATTGGTTACTGATAGTATCAACTTTGATACTGAGTTTGATAGTATTAGGTGTTTTCATGATGTTTACCTTTTTTTAGATTTATTTATTTTTGAGAGTTAGAAAGAGGGAGAGACAAAGAATCTCTCATCCGCTGGTTCACCCCCCAGATGACTGCCCTTGCCAGCGCTGTGCTAGACTGAAGCCAGGACCCAGGAGCTTCAACGGAGTCTCCCACATGGGTGGCAGGGGCCCAAACACTGGGGCCATCTTCTGCTGCTTTCCCAGGCCATTAGCAGGAGCTGGATTGAAAGTGGAACAGGTGGGACACAAACCAGTGTCCATACGGGATGCCAGTGTCACAGGCAGCAGCTTTATCTGCCGTGCCACAACACCAGCCCATGATGCTAAAGTAAGGCTTCAGAGTTTCCTATAAGGCTACTCTGATGGTGATGAAGTCTCAGTTTTTATATTTCTGGGATATACTTTATTTCTCCTTTACTTATAATGGGTAGTCTCACAGGATATAATATTCATAGCTGGAATTTTTTCTTCCAAGATCTTGAATTCATATCATCCTACTTTCTTCTAGTATGCAGCATGTCTGCTCTTGCTCTCATTGATCTCCCTTAATTTTAGCTTGACATTTTTCTGTTTTTAGGATTCTCTCCTTGTCCTTAACTTGGACAGTTTGACTGTTATCTTGGAAAAGGTCTTTTTGGTTGAGTCTGGAAAGTTGCCATTATTTTATTTAGTCAGTCTCAATGCATTTTTCCTTCTGTTCTCTTTGAGATATCTATTCAATGAGTATGTGTTCACTTAATGGTATCCTGTATGTCTCATACACTTTCATCATTATTTTCTTTTAGTCTGACTGCATTATTTCAAAAGTCTTGTCTTCCAGAACAGAAATTCTTTTCTTGTCTTGCTCTGTTCTGCTGCTGACATTCTCAAATTTTGTTTGGTTCATCTCATCTACTGCTTTCCTCAATTTTTTAAACTATCTGTATTCTTTTGCATTGTACCAATTTTCTTTATAATCATTGTTTTGAATTTTGTTTCTGGCATTTCTCAGATTTCCTTCAGTTCAGGATTATTTCTGGAGAACTGTTTTGTTCTTTAGGAGTTGTCATGCTTGCTTCTTGTTTCCTTTGTCTCTACATTGATGACTGCCCATCTTTTTTTTTTTTTTTTTTTTTAAAGATTTATTTATTTATTTGAAACTCAGAGTCACATAGAGAAGGAGAGGCAGAGAGAGAGAAAGGTCTTCCATCCACTGGTTCACTCCCAAACTGGCTGCAACGGCCAGAGCTGCACTGATCAGAAGCTAGGAGCCAAGAGCTTCTTCCTGGTCTCCCACATGGGTGCAGGGGGCCAAGGACTTGGGCCATCCTCTACTGCTTTTCCAGGCCTTAGCAGAGAAGTGGATCAGAAGTGGAACAGCCAGGACTCGAACTGGTGCCCATATGGAATGCCAGCACTGCAGGCAGTGGCTCTACCTGCTATGCCTCAGTGTGTCCCCCCCGCCCCCCGCAAATCTGAATGGTCACTTCTTTATGGAGTTTTGTTGGAAAATAGTTTTTTGTTTCAGTGGAGTACAAGGTATCACTTGGATTGTTGCCTTGCCCTTGGTTCTAAGCGAGCTGAAAAGTATAACCTGATTTTTTTAATCAATGCCTATAAATGCCACGGTGGTCTAGTCTGCAGCAGTTTGTGAAGGTAGAAGAATGACTTTGAAGTGGATTTGGGCTTCCCAGTGTATGTATCTTCAGTTCCCAGAGAATTGGGTGTCAGTCACACTAGGGTTTGTGGTAACTATAACCTTGTTCTTGATACTGAGTGACTTTTCCCCTGGGCAAGCCTGAGTGATGCTGCAGCTTGTGGCTTATAACACCAAATTCCCTAGTTCCCAGAACTGCTCCAGTTTTATAGGGTGACTACAAGATATACTGGAGATTTTGCACTGGCAGGGGTAGGCCCAGCGTAAGTTCTTCCCTGGGTCTCACAGGATAGGTTCTGGTGAATCTGTGGAACCTAGTACTAATTGTCACAGTGTTGTGCTTCAGGATGCAGTAAGATCGCTACCCCATTCAGAGTCTGACAGCCAGCCTGCTGGGAATTGTGCACTGGTAGCTTCCAGCCTGAACTGACAGTAAGAGAGGAATGCAAATACAGATGTCCAGGTACAACTGAGTGTGACTTATTCCAGAGATTGTAACATCAACATCAGCAGTCCTAGATCTGCAAGGTACAGATGGAACTGCCCCTGCTAGGGCTTGTGCACTGGGCTCCCAGTGAGCTAGGAGGTGCAAAGGGACCTTCCTTAGGTCTAGTCCTCTCAGACTTTTTATGATGGTAGCCATAAGAAGCCAGCGGGAACCCCCTACATCACATAGAGTGAGTAAGCGCAGTTCTAGGGCTTATGCCCAGAACTCCACAGCTGCAAGGCACCAAGCTTCCACTCCCCATTTTGGGAAAGTGCCCTGGCTCTGGTGACTTCTGGTAGCTGTGACGCTGCTTGCTATCCCCTAGATTGGTACAGAGTTCAGCAGCAGCTCTACCACAGTAGAGTAGAGTCTGGCTCTTTGAGTAGAGGGAGACAATTTGGATTACCTTTTTGGAGCAAACCAGTTGCTGAGACCCCAGGTCAGCTCTCCATGTTGGAACTGAAGTCACTGAGGACTGTGGGATTCTCCTGTAGTTAGGACTGCTGGTCCATGTTGCCAGCAAGGAATGCGGTGCCCTCTTACCTTTTCTGGTAGTGGTGTGGAAGCTGCCACTACCACGGCCGTCAGTTGCATTTGTCCTCCGTCCGGTGGCCTCGGAGTCTCTGTGCTGTTGTACCACTTCTTTACTGAAGATTTCCCCCTGAAAACACGGTTCTTCCTTTGTTGTTCTGGTGTTTTACTATGGCTGAGGTGAGTATGGCTTCTCTATTCAGCCATCTTGTATTCTGTCTTATTTCCTAGTAAGTGTATTTAGGATTAAGTTTTCTCCAGGTACAACTGTAGTGAAACACATGGGATTTCACCTGAGGTTTCTTTTGGTAGAATAATAGGGACATAGTCTGAGAAATACATCAGGTGATTTCATTTTTATGGATCATAGAGCATATTTTCACAAACTAAGATGCTACACTCTCACTAGGTGATACAATCTTATAGTACTGCTGTCTTGTGTGTAGTCAATTGTTGACCAAAATGTCACTAACTAGTGCATGACTATCAGTTCTAAATCATTTGCAAGTTTTTATTTTCTCCTATAACAAACATGTATAGAAGTATCTTACTTAAGTCTATTAATATTTTTTGAATTTCCAGTTTTATGCTACTGTGATAATTAACAATCTGATGTGGTTTATCTTTATTATATTCTAGTCTTTTGTCTTTATGTCCTCCATCATGAGTAGAGTTTATCAATTTCTCTTTGTATTTCTGTTTTTATTTACCTCAAAGCTAAGTTGTTAGTTGTATAATGGTCATGACTTTTTTTTTTTTTTTTGACAGGCAGAGTGGACAGTGAGAGAGAGAGAGAAAGGTCTTCCTTTTCTGTTGGTTCACCCTCCAATGGCCGCTGTGGCCGGTGCACTGTGGCCAGCACACCGCGCTCATCGGAAGCCCAGAGCCAGGTGCTTCTCCTGGTCTCCCATGTGGGTGCAGGGCCCAAGGACTTGGGCCATCCTCCACTGCACTCCCGGGCCACAGCAGAGAACGGACTGGAAGAGGGGCAACTGGGACAGAATCCAGCGCCCTGTCCGGGACTAGAACCTGGTGTGCTGGCGCTGCAGGCAGAGGATTAGCCTGTTGAGCCGTGGCGCCAGCCATGATCATGACTATTATAATTTCCTTGGCTGGACTCAACTGATGCCTTTAGGTGACTTCACTGAAAAGTCTGAGGCATTTAGGAAAGACCTTCTATTAAGTTTCTGCTGCCTTATCAGTCAGTCTGCTTAACTGAAAATATATTCTTTCTACATTTTTTTATGACATATGAACCTATTTGTTTACCTAAGGCCAGTTCCTTTACTTACATACTAAATGACATTCTTTCTCATTTTTTTAGGGATACTTTAGGAGAAATTAGTGCAGTATCTACTTGTCTGTGTCTGTCATAATTACAAGCTGCAATTTCTTCTATCTAAAAAGGAAAAACAAAACAAAAACAAATCTCTTGACACACACGTTTTCTTCTTGAAATAACCCTATTTATCTGCTACATTTTTTAAAAAAGATTTTCCTACCCTATCTCCATCTCTTCTCCCACTCTCATTAATCTGTTCCAATCCAAACTTACACCCATTACTCCACCAAAACTATACTTGAAGATAACCCATTATCTGTTAACTTCTTTATTACTAAATTAGAAATCAGCATTTTACTTTGTTTCTCAGCATTTGAAGAATTGATAACACTTGACTTGGCTTCTGGGATTCCACAGTTTCCTGAATTTTTGGCTGTCGCCGCTTAGTCTTCATTGTTCATTCTTTCTTATCTTCCTTCCTTACAATGATGATGTACCCCAAAGCTCAATTCTCAAACTTCCCTTTTCTTCCTTTCACTTCTCTACTGTATCCAGATACTCCTTGTTTGATCTTATCCAATCCCCCAGGGTTTAAATATTATCTATTTGGTGATGACCCCTAAATTTATATCTCTAATCTGAGTATCTCCCTAGAACCACATATTTGTGTCAATGCGTGTGTAATAAACACTTATTACCATATCTAAAAGTTCAAAATCAAGCAAGTCTCTTCTAAACCTTCTTCTGCTATAATGCAAAGTTCTCAGTATATAGTACATCCATAGTTCCAGATGCTCAGACAAAAAAGTATTCCTTGTTTTGTTTTTCATATTATGTGTTCATTCTATCACAAAATCCTCTTCATTAGAATGTCAAAATATATTCAGAATCCAATGATAACTCACATCTTCTACCCCTACATTCACAGTCATCTGGCCTGAACCATTTGGATTGCTATAACCTCATAACTCTGTGCACCAAGTTTCAATTCCTAATCCCTCATCTCTGTGGGCCCGAGGCCTTGTCTCTTGAAGTTTTTCAGATTATTAACATTCAGACTCAGTCAGGTGAAGTCACTAGATGTCTCAGGGGAAGCTGTGACTAACTTTGGAATATGTTTGTGTCTAGTTTCTGTTCTCATTTCATTGTGGCACCTCTGAATCTTCTTTTCTAACCTTGGCCATACTTGTAAAAGGGTTTTCTTTTTTTAAAATCATATTTTAAATAACCAACGTTTATTGCCATTCCCCAGGCAATCTGATACACCATTCACATGTCAAGTATATCCACTATCAGAGTTTTACTATTGCCAATCCCCAAATTCTCACACTATTAGCTTTATATTACTACATCAAAATACTTCATGCAGCTTTATAAGGGGAAAAGGGTTTTTTTTTTAAGCTCAGTTTTGGAATCTGAAGTCCAAGATTGGATGTCTCCATTGACTTGGCATCTGGTAAGGGCAATGGATGACAGTGGGAATAAGGATTACTTGGTGAACCAGGATCAGACAGTGGTTAGGCCCAAACACAGGCTTTTATAGTAACCCTCACATTAGAAATACCTTCTGACATCATGTTCCCAGTAACCTAAGGACAACCATTAGGGCTTATCAGAAAATACCAAAATAAGTTTCCACTTTATTTTTTTTTTTATTTTTTATTTTTTTTACAGGCAGAGTGGACAGTGAGAGAGAGAGAAAGGTCTTCCTTTTGCCATTGTTCATCCTCCAATGGCCGCTGCGGCCAGCGCGCTGCAGCCGTTGCGCTGCGCTGATCCGAAGCCAGGAGCCAGGTGCTTCTCCTGGTCTCCCATGGGGTGCAGGGCCCAAGCACTTGGGCCATCCTCCACTGCACTCCCGGGCCACAGCAGAGAGCTGGCCTGGAAGAGGGGCAACCGGGACAGAATCTGGCGCCCCGACCGGGACTAGAACCCAGTGTGCCAGCACCGCAAGGCGGAGGATTAGCCTAGTGAGCCGCGGCGCCGGCCAAGTTTCTACTTTAGTACCATTAACTGAGGCTTAAATGTCCTGCCTGAGTGCAGGGGCTAAATCATATTCAAACTATAACACTTTTCTTTTTTTAACTCCTTCTTCCTTTTCCCTAGGCTATGAAAACTACTCACCATTCACTACTTACCATTCCTAAAGTTTTGTCTTTTCAAGAATGTCATACAGGGGTGGGCATTTTGGTGCATCAGGTTAAGCTGCTGCATAAGATGCCTGCATTTCATTTTAGAATGCTGATTTGAATCCCAGCTCTTCTACTTCCAGTCCTGCTTTCTGCTAATGCATCCTGAAAAGCAGTACGTGATGGCTCAAGTATTTTGGTCGCTGCCACCCATGTGGGAGATCCAGAGGGAGTTCTGGACTTCTGGCTTTGGCCTGGCCCAGCCCTGGCTGTTGCAGGCATTTGAGCAGTGAACCAGTGGATTTAAGAGAGGGTGTGTTCACTCTTGTTCAGTCTCTCTGCTTTTCCAATAAAAATAAACATTTTTAAAACAGAATGTTATATAAATGGGATCAAAATATGTAGCCTTTAGGGTCTGGCTTTGTTCACCTAGCATATATTTAAAATTTGTCTGTATTATTGTATGAATCAATAGTGTGGATCTGTTTCCCGCTAAATAGTATCCCATTGTAGGGAAGTATCTAAGTTTGTTGATTCATTCATCTTTTAAGGAATGACTGGGTTGATTCCAGTTTGGAGAAATTAATAAAGCTGCTATAATATTTGGTATACGATCTTTGTCTTAACATAAGCATAAATACCTACAAATATGCTGCTGGATCATACACTAAATATATTTAAAAGAAACTATCTCACTTTCATTGTGGTTATACCACTCTGCATTCCCAGCAAGAGTATTCTGGTTCTTGATCTGTATATCCATCTAAAAGAAGTCTTTTATAGAATTGCTAGAATCCTTGTCATTCAGACTTTCCAACATTCTCAACATTGCATAAGATTACAGAGCCCTGCATTATGTCTTAAGTTATATAGCTATGCCTGGGAAATGATAGATATTTTTCTGTGATGAACACCTAGAGTTGGGCTTGGATATATAAGTAAATGAGAGATGACAGGAGACAGGAATGAAGGATGAAGTAAAGATAAGTAAACAAAGGCAACTAAATATCTTGTTTGAAAATAATAGGGAAAACTAAAGGTAATCATGGCTACTATCTGGGAAGCAGTATGCAGGAGGCAGGTCACTTGGAGACTGATATGATCATTAATTTAGTGTAGATAGCTTTTGTTTCCATATGTAAGTAATTAGTGGGGAAGCCACAGATAAGTGGTTTCCAAGCATCTACCTCTAGGATGGCAGGAAGAGTTAACTACAAAGGGGTACCCAGGAGTGACAGAAGTTTGATAGGGGGCAGGCACTATGGTGCTGGCTATCCCATATGGGCACCGGTTTGAGTCCTGGCTGCTCTTCTACCAATCCAGCTCTCTGCTATGGCCTGGGAAAGCAGTGGAAAATAGCCCAAGTGCATAGGCTCTTGCATCCACATGAGGGACCAAGAAGAAGCTCCTGACTCCTGGCTTAGGATTGGCCCCAGCCATTTGGGGAGTGAATCAGTGGATGGAAGACCTGGCTCTGTCTGTCCCTCTCTCTCTCTTCTCTAACTCTGCCTCTCAAGTAAATGAATAAAATCTTTTTTTTTCTTCTTAAAGTTTGATTGTAGGTACATGATTTGAGCTATTTTGGTTTTTCTTCTGTTTTTCAGTTGTCTTATGCCCTAGTTTTACTGAGTGTTAGGCATTATAAAGAAGATAACTCTAATAAATATTTAATTGTACTGTGGCAAACAATCTTGAATTACCTCATTCCAAATTCTGAATTTTAGATAGTTCAGAAATGATTCAGGCTTCAGACCTTGCCCAGACTGACCAACATTTTCTACATTATTCCTCATCATAGCTCTCAAGAGTTCCCAACCTAATATATGGAGAATTTACAACAGGACTTACTTTCCAGCTGTTGTCACCGAGTCATTTGCAGACTTACTTTCCAGCTGTTGTCACTGAGTCATTTGCAGCAGTCCAAAACACTGTTTAGTTTCTCTACCTCTCAATTTACTCTTCTGCTTAGGGAAATCTTAGTGGACCCAGATATTTTAAACTTTTATCCTATTAGCTGTTTATTTAAATATTAACTCTCCAGTGTCTTCATTCAAGTGCTTTTTATATGTTGCCTAATTTATGTAACTGCTTTCAACAGGAATGGTAGTCTGAATTACCTAAATTAACAGAAATGAATCCTTAAGATTCAAGAACTGAAAAAGAGAAATTCAGTTTGTATAGTCCTATGGAGAACCATCTAAGGTTTTGGCTAGTTGTAGGTGCGATGGGAAATGCCTTTGTGGGCTTTTCAAAGTTGAAAGGATGCTTATGTGTTTGGTAGATAGTGATCAAAGCTGAGAAGTATCATAGGAAAAGTCATATAGATAGGTATGGACCAGACTAGGGAGGGCTTTCTCAAAGTTATAGAAGAGTTTGGATGCTGTTCTAAGTTTAACTACCGGGCCAGCGCCATGGCTCACTTGGTTAATCCTCTGCCTGCAGCGCCAGCATCCCATATGGGCACCAGTTCTAGTCCTGGCTGCTCTTCTTCCAATCCAGCTCTCTGCTGTGGCCCAGAAAGGCAGTGGAGGATGGCCCAAGTGCTTGGGCTCCTGCACCTGCGTGGGAGACCAGGAAGAAGCACCTGGCTCCTGGCTTCAGATGGGCGCAGCTCCAGCTGTAGTGGCCATTTGGGGAGTGAACCAACAGAAGGAAGACCTTTCTCTCGTCTTTCTCTCACTGTCTATAACTCTACCTGTCAAATAAATTTTTTTAAAAAGTTTAGCTATTAAAAAGTTTTAAGCAGAGATAGAAAATCACAATCCAATTCCAAATATGAATCAGTGAGAAATGTTCTAGAGACCTCCATGTTCATCTTCTGATTCACTAGATTCAGTCAGTCTCATGGAATAAATTGGACATCTTTAATTTCAACAAGCTCTCCTCATGACTTTTAAAGTTTGAAAACCACTGATTTCAAAGTTTCCTTTTAAAGTCTCTTCCCTTATGCTCCCAAGTATTCATTATTCTGACCTCTCAGCTACCCTCTTTTCATTCTAAGCTAATATTTCTTTCAAGCTCTAGGTAGCAACATTACCATGTCATAAGTTTAGTGGGTTTTGATTGAGAGAAATAGAAAGGAGTAAAATTTATAGCACAGAATACAGCATTTTATAAAATTGTATTTAGTGTGAAATGTACGTCTAACTACAGGTCATGGTAAACAATACTTTAACACCACTTAGGTAAGCCTATTATTTCATATGGTTATTATTTTGACTTTTCTCCTATTGAAATTATATTTCTCCTAAATTATTTAATGTTGTCTTACCTTTCAGATTTGCCTTCAATATATGGAAGTAAGGACTTCTCTCCAAAAAGGGATACTTATGAAACAGAATTATCCCAATGGGAAATAAGTGACAAGCCTGGAAACCGTGATCTTCAGGAGTCTAATTCTAAAAGTTATTTGGAAATCCAAGGCAACTTGGAAAAACAAGAAAATCAGAAGGAATATTTCAGGCGAGGGATGATTATATATGACAAAATGTCCATTTTCAATCAGCAAACCTACTTATCTCAGCATCCACAATGTCATTCTACTGAGAAACCCTATAAATGTAAGGAATGTGGGAAAGCCTTTAGACGAGCATCGCATCTAACTCAACATCAGAGTATTCACACTGGTGAAAAACCCTATGAATGTAAGCAGTGCGGAAAGGCCTTTAGTCGTGACTCCCAGCTCAGTCTTCACCAGAGACTTCATACTGGTGAGAAACCCTATGCATGCAAAGAATGTGGGAAGGCCTTCACTCAAAGCTCACAACTTATTTTACATCACAGAATTCATACTGGTGAAAAACCATATAAATGTGAAGAATGTGGGAAAGCCTTTATTCGTAGCTCACAACTCACTCGACATCAGAAAGTCCATACTGGCGAGAAGCCGTATGAATGTAAAGAATGTGGAAAGGCCTTTACTCAGAACTCACAACTTACTCTGCACCAGAGACTTCATACTGGTGAGAAGCTCTATGAATGCAAAGAATGTCGAAAAGTCTTTACTCAGCTCTCACAACTAATTCTGCATAAGAGAATTCATACTGGTGAGAAACCCTATGAATGTAAGGAATGTGGGAAAGCTTTTATTTGTGGCTCACAGCTTTCTCAACATCAGAAAATTCATAATGGGGAAAAGCCATATGAATGTAAGGAATGCGGGAAGGCCTTTATCCGGGGCTCACTCCTTATGCAACATCAAAGGATTCATACTGGTGAAAAACCCTATAAATGTGAAGAATGTGGGAAAGCCTTTATCCGTGGCTCACAACTTACTCAACACCAGAGAATTCATACCAATGAAAAGCCCTATGAATGTAAGGAATGTGGAAAGACCTTTAGTCATGGCTCACAACTGACTCAACACCAGAGAATTCACACTGGTGAGAAACCCTATCAATGTAAGGAATGTGGGAAGGCCTTTAATCGTGGCTCACTCCTCACTCGACATCAGAGGATTCATACTGGTGAGAAACCCTATGAATGTAAAGAGTGTGGAAAAACCTTTAGTCGTGGGTCAGAACTTACTCAACATGAGAGAATTCACACTGGTGAGAAACCCTATGAATGTAAGGAATGTGGAAAGTCTTTTATTCGTGGCTCACAGCTTACTCAACATCAAAGAATTCATACTGGTGAGAAACCTTACGAATGCAAAGAATGCAGAATGGCCTTTACTCAGAGTTCACATCTTTCCCAACATCAGAGACTTCATACTGGTGAGAAACCCTACGTATGTAATGAATGTGGAAAGGCCTTTGCTCGTGGTTTACTACTCATACAACATCAAAGAATCCATACTGGTGAGAAACCATATCAGTGTAAGGAATGTGGGAAGGCCTTTATTCGTGGTTCTCAGCTTACTCAACATCAGCGAATTCATACTGGAGAAAAACCCTATGAGTGCAAGGAGTGTGGGAAGGCCTTCAGTCATGGCTCTCAGCTTACTCTACATCAGAGAATCCATACTGGTGAGAAGCCCTACGAATGTAAAGAATGTAGAAAGGCTTTTACCCAGAGTTCACACCTTTCTCGACATCAGAGAATACACACTGGTGAAAAACCATACCAATGTAAGGAGTGTGGGAAGGCCTTTACTCGTGGCTCACAACTAACTCAACATCAAAGAATTCATATCAGTGAGAAATCTTTTGAATATGAGGAATGTGGAATAGAATTTAAGCATGCCTCACAAGTTTATGTATGAATTATCGGATTCTTTGCAGTTAACAGATTTCTCTTGCAAAGAATTCTTACAGATGTGAATATGGGGGCACATTTGCGTCATAAAGGTAAACATCAGAGAATTTGGATGGCATAATGAAAATGTTAATGTAATCCATGTAGAAAAGCCTATCATTTCTGGAAACCCACTAAACTTTAGCAAGTTAAAACAGAAAATAATTCTGTTAATGTAGAAAATGTAGAAAGGCTTCTAGCCTTAGCAAATGTCTTTTTCAAAACTATCTTGGCTCTGAGAATTCATTTCCTTCTGCTTTGGTTTAATCATTTGTATATAGACTTAAGAATAAATACCTTTCTCAGTATTCACGGAAGTATCATGTGTTATTTTATGTAAAAGCTCTTAGAACAGTGCACTGAAGCATATTGTAAGTATATCATATTTTAAGTATCAAATACCATTTCTATTATTTTAGAAACATTTCATAAGAGGAGGGTGCTATCAAAAATATTTCATTAAACATTTACTACAGATTTGGGGGAGGACACTGTATGTTATAAATATGAGAAAGCTTTTATCCAAATCTCATCAAATATTCTATAAGAGGAAATCCGTCCTGAACAAAAGCACTGTGCATTAATCAATGGGTTATTGAGAGAAATGTTAGAAAATACAGAATTTGTATTTTCCAATATCCCTGGCTAAAATTTAAGAATATTATTTATAAATGAAAAAAATTTTAGCAGAAATACACCTAGGGGAGAGCATTGTGGTACAGTGGGTTAAGCTGCTGCTTGCAATGTTGGCATCCCCTACTGGAAAGTCAGTTCAAGTCCTAGCTGCTCCACTTGTGACTTCCTGCTAATGTCCCTGTGAAAACAGCAGAAGATGGCCCAAGTTCCTGGGCCCCTGCCACCCATGTAGGAGATCAGGATGGAGTTCCTGGCTTTAGCCTGGCCCAGCCCTGACTGTTGTGGCCATTTGAGGAATAGACCAGCAGAGACAAGATCTCTCTCTTAAATAAAGGAATAAATCAACTTTAAAAATAACCCTAGAAAAAAACAATCTATTATAACAAACAAAAACTGTATCTAGGAAATTTTTTTAAACCTCAGTGAACAAATTATGAATTATACAGAAAATAAAATCTGACATCATAGACTAATGAACAATGAAAATTTATGAGTTTGTGTCAGAGACTGTTTCCACATTCAATAGCCAATCTTCCATTCTTCAGTAACAAGTCCCAGAGTTAAAACTATTTTAGTCTCTCCTAAAGGTAAACAAGATAGAAGGGATATTTGTGAATAGGATATTTAAGATCCTTTTATCCTCCATGTATATTCATACAATGTAGACCTGTATGCCAGAGTTCCAGCAGTCTCAAGGGGACATTGAGAATAACATCTGGGTGGTATAGAAGGTGGAGAAGAAAACAGAGTAGGTTCTGCAACCCTAATGATTTTTTTAAACAGTCATACCAACTCTGATCTGTTTGCCTCCGTTCTTTTTCTGGGAACTAAACCTTTTATTGATACAGTTTTAGTTCTCTTATTAATAATCAAATTTCTTAAGAATATCAGAAATATGCCTAGAAGTGGCATTCTGTGGGCAAAAGAAATCAAATATAGCCTTAAATTAAGGCCATAGATAATGATGATCTACCCCATTCAGGCTAAAATACTAAGCATTCTTATTTTTATAGTTATGGCATTTATTGAGATTGCCTCCTGTGCCAATCCAGGCTGTAATGCTAGAGGAAATGATAGGAGTGATTAAGGATGTGTTTCAGAGATCAATTCAGAGGAGAGCTAGCCAGACCACTAGTAAGAGATAAAAGTTAAGAGATGCTATCGCCTTGGCTGCAGGTAATTTATCTTCTACCTCACTGACAAACCATCATAATTTAAAGGGCTGGCCTAGGCAAGAAATGAAACCAGTACCCATTTTTACAAAGAAAACTAACCTGATAATAAAAGTTTATGCTTTCCCTTCCCATGCCTGTTGTTCTAAATTTCACTGAATGCTCACTTTATTCCAGCCACTATGCTTATTGTTTAGAATGTATCAACGAACAATTCTTGTGTGGAGAGAAAAGATAATGAATGTAGAATATTAAAATAGTGGTACAGAGTGAAAAAATCATTCAAGAAAAGTTGGGAGGTTATGACAGTTTAGGTTGATACATGAAACACAACGACTCAGGATAGACCATTAAGGAGGAAATATCAGAATCAAGATTTGAAGGGGTGTAGAGTAAAGGAAAAAAGAGGAAGAGACCTATAATGAAAATTCCACAGTGTGTTTAAGAAATAGCAGGGATGTTACATAGTTGTGTACAAGGAGATGGCTGATCAGACAGGAAATCAGATAACAGATGGTCTCATCCAAAGCCTTACAGTCATTGGGGATTTTATTTTAAGGGAAATAGCCATTGGTGAGTTCTGAGCAGAAGAGGTGATGTAACATGTGGCTACTGTTAGAAAAAAAAGTTTACCATCTATTTTTTTAAAAAAGTAGGTAAGAGTAGGATACTAAGGCAGTAATTCATATGAAAGATGGTGATGGCTTAACCAGGGTGGTAATGATACATTAAGAATTATACCCTAAATATATGCTATGTAATGAAACAAGCAAATTTTCTTTAGTGGTTAAATGTTAGGTGTGAGAAAAGTGCAAGGGGAAACTGACATGGAGACTTTGGTCTTCAGCAAATGGAAAGACAGAAATTCATGAAACAAGGTGGGAAAGCTGAAGGTCCAGAAAGTCTGTTCGGGAAACTGGTAGTTCAATTTGGAATAAGCTTGCAATGTCTTAGACACAAAATGGCAATACTGACTACAGCTATGGACCTAACAGCTTCTAGGAGAGATTATCCTTATTTGGTAGTTAGTACTTACATTTATCTAGAATCATCAGGCAACAGGATCATTATTGAGTATAAAGAAAAGAGAAACATGAAGCATTCCAGCATAACACTTCAAGAAGAAAAAGGACATGCAAGGTGGACACACAGAGAAGGCCAGTCTTGCTTGCTCCTCCACCAAGGAGGCCCAGCGCAACTGCATCTGGAGGTAAGTGCCTAAGCAAGAGTACCTGACACAGTAGAACAGTGACAACACACTAGGACACTAGTTAGCCGGCACCGCGGCTCACTAGGCTAATCCTCCGCCTTGCGGCGCCGGCACACTGGGTTCTAGTCCCGGTCGGGGCGCTGGATTCTGTCCCGGTTGCCCCTCTTCCAGGCCAGCTCTCTGCTATGGCCCGGGAGTGCAGTGGAGGATGGCCCAAGTGCTTGGCCCTGCACCCCATGGGAGACCAGGATAAGTACCTGGCTCCTGCCATCGGATCAGCGCGGTGCGCCGGCCGCAGCGCGCCGGCCTGGGCGGCCATTGGAGGGTGAACCAACGGCAAAGGAAGACCTTTCTCCTCTCTGTCTCTCTCACTGTCCACTCTGCCTGTCAAAAAAAAAAAAAAAAAGACACTGGTAATAGGCAGCAGCATAGGGAAAAGAGAAAGAGGAACAAACCCAAACCAGCAGTGTCGAAAGCCTCAGCCTTGAGGCCAGAGGAGTCCCTGTTCTGGGGGGAAAGGTGATTAGGACAGTCGGTGTAAGCAGAGCCTACAGAAACCTCTTACCTGGGTCGTCCTCCCCAGGGAAATCCAAACAGCACAGACCAACAGCTCAGGAAGGAGGGTTCCATGGAAAACTCAGAGCTCCTCGACTCAGAGAAGGAACTTGCACGGTTCCTTCCCCCACCCCTCTATCTTGAGAGGAGAGTCACTGTCAAAGTCCACACTGGACTGAGACAGAGCCTATGTCTTTCTTTCCAGGGGCCCGGAAGACATTCCTGCATTCCTTCAGTCTACAAGGCAGACTGAAACCCCATGTCCAAATGGGCCCAACAGTGCAACCATAACCCCACAGCCTGAGCCAGTGGGAGCAGGGGAGCTGGGATACACAGCCTTCAGGACTTTGGAAATAAGGGAACCTGCCCTGTCAGAATTGGGAATTGTATTTCCTACTGTCTTCCCTTTCCCCAAACACTTGGAAAACTGCAGGTTGTGGCTGGGTTTCCAAGCACCAACCCGTCTGCCTATGCAGAGGCTCAGAGCTCCTGTATACTGGGGACAGATCTCACAATGGGATTGGAGGGCCCATTAGACCTTACTGGTGCCCTGGATGTTGCGTGTGTCAAGGGAGGAGGGGTGAAGTGTACTGGCACTGTGCACTCAGCAATGCATCAGCTGGTTTGCACTGGCACAGTAAAGGGATAGGAAACTGAACACATCAGTCAGCCCCTGCAGCTTCCTCTCCACTGACAGCCACCAGAGGTGCTGCACCATGCCCATCTTGAGTCCTGCTGTGGACTCTTCCTCCTCCAAATGGACAGTGGCTGGAAATCCTCAGGCCCACCAAGTGCGTGACCCAAGTCTAGTGTAAGTTTTATGCATTCCAACTAGCCCAGCAACACAGTGCTAGCTGGGACAACTGGGTGGGCTCTTTGTACTGAGCGGAACACAGATTCGGCTTCCTGGGATCTCTGGCCCAGAGTATGTGTGTTCAGGCCCAGTGTGGGGCTTAGGGCTTCAAGCTCCAGCCCCTCCCACAGAAGCTGCTAGAGTTTGGTTGCTACTGCTCATTTGATGCTCCAGCCTGAGGTAACTGCACCCAACCCAACCCAATAAGCAACACAGAGTGGCCCAAGACAACTTGTCCTGCTGTTGGAGGGCCAAAGTCAGTCTCACAGATCCAGCCACTTGATAGCGCCTGTGGGTCCTTCCTCCTGCACTCAACATTAGTGCAACTAGGAGCTCTGGATCTCAGCAGTGGCTAGGAGTCTCTAAGTCCACCCAGCTCCTATACTCAGCATTGGTCTTGCAACTCCAGTGTGTGACAAGGATATTGGTTGGGAATCTATATGCCAGACACACCCAGAACACCAAGACCCGCTCCCAAAACCCAAGAAGCTCATCACACCAGTCCTTTCCTAAAGAGACAACTAGAAGGCCGGTGCTGCGGCTCACTAGGCTAATCCTCCGCCTGCGGCGCCAGCACCCCAGGTTCTAGTCCCGGTTGGGGCACCGAATTCTGTCCCGGTTGCTCCTCTTCCAGGCCAGCGCTCTGCTGTGGCCCGGGAAGGCAGTGGAGGATGGCCCAGGTCCTTGGGCCCTGCACCCACAATGGGAGACCAGGAGAAGCACGGCAGTAGCACGCCAGTCGCAGTGGCCACTGTGGGGTGAACCAATGGAAAAAGGAAGACCTTTTTCTCTGTCTGTCTCTCTCACTGTCCACTCTGCCTGTCAAAAAATTAAAAAAAAAAAAAAAAAGAGAGAGACAACTAGGAATCTCAGTGACCACAC